AATCTTCTAGGGGAGTGATACTTGTGTTTTGGCAGATATGGTCATAAAAAAAGTGTATAAGTTACCAGAATAAGGCTCATGAACAAATCAGTGTGGTGCAGTTTCAGAATGGTGAGCTGGGATATAGGAAAGCCACCCAATGCATTTTCAGTAACTCAGCTCAGCTATTAAGCCCACTGGGTGGCTTTGAGTGCCTTACCATGTCTCAGTCTAAAATATATCATCCGGTTGTTCCAGTGCTAATATATTGCTTCGAATTCCCCAAAGGAAGAGAATGATACCGATGCAATAAACACACACCCTATGCATTAAAGTCCAGCATGAGCCACTGTTTTTCCCATCTATCACCCACTTCATAACGGAGAAAGGGAAAGAAGAAAGGCGAGGGACAGATGTAATACTTGCTCCCTGCCAAAGAGAGTTAGCAAAAACTCCTACTAAAAAGCTGACCGGCTCACCGCAGGTCAAGAGAGTTAGACAAGCATCAGCAGATCTACATTCTACCTTATTTATTTTTGTTTACAAAAGCCATATGCTTCCTTTCCAGAGACCATTGTCTTTAGACCATTTCTATGTTTCTTATGAAAAGTAAAGTGGGACAAAAGATGCTTCTGTAGTTATCAGAATGGACTCAAGAGCCAACAGCTAGGAAACAGGAAGGGCTGCCTGAAGCTCATGGTCAAGGTTCACTATTGTGTCTCCCACAGAAGCCAGCACACGGGAGGGAAGAAGTTAGAACTCCAGAACACAGAACTGGTGCACAGACACACACCTACAAGAGCCTCACGCTACTCTATCAAGAAGGAGGGCATGGTTTTAAAAAACAATCAAGCCATTACAGAAGGGCAAGAAGGTTTAAAAAATGCAACCAAATTGTAAAAAGGTAATAGAAACTGAGTTAGATGTTACAGACCAGTGGTCCATCTAGTCCAGGAACCTGTTTCACACAGCAGTTAACAGGGCACAGAGGCCATGGCCTTCCTTGATGTTACCTCTTAGCACTGGTATTCGGAAGTATGCGGTCTGTTTATATAGAAGTTCACTTCAGTCACCACAGCTAATAGACTTTGATAGTCCTCTGTTTCATGAATCTGACTAACCCCCTTTTAAAGCTATGTTGTGTTAGTGGCCATCACTATATCTGCTGGCAGTGAATTCCACCATTTAATTACTTGTTAAATAAAGAAGTACCTCCTTTTGTACATCCTGAATCTATTGCCCCTCAACATTATTGAGTGCCTCCACCCCAAGCCTATGGTACAGGAGGGGAAATTTCTATCCACATTCTCCACCCCATACATAATCAAAACAGATGAGCAACAAAGTGAAGAGACTCAATGGCATGGTAAGAGGGATGCCACCGACTCTAAACAGCAAATCTGCTGAAGATAATACTCATCCATCTCATGTCATGTTAGCCTCCCTCCCTTTAATGTTTTGCATTTCACCACTGTTCTTTATATCCTCTTACACATATGTTCATCCTACATAAAATAAAGGGGAAAACATGCATCCACTTTTATTTACGGATCAGAGTGTTGGATAACCAGAAAAAAAACTACAGTGAAACAAGCCACAATAGAACCGACAAGGCCATAGTTAATGTTGGGATGGAATTTTTAAAAAGGCAGCAAGAAACAGATGTGGCTCTGCTGAAGTGAAAATAAGTTGCAGAAAGCAAAGCTGCAAGTGCTGGTACTTGCAGGAACGAAGCATGAACATGTGTGCAACAGGACCACACAGTGAAAGGCAACAGACTGGAGCAAAGGCCCGAATGTAATGGATGCATAATACCAGCATCCAAACCCATGGATGGGCCAAAAGTAGTGTCAAAGCTAAGGAGTGGCTTGAACCCCTGCGTAAGCTTCACAGCTGGAGAAAATCACAGTTTTTAAGGGCCAAAAGGAGATCCACTCTTTCTCTCTAAAAGAGTGCAATGCATCCTGGCGCAATGAAAAGATGGGTGGGGGAGAGCTTCCAGTCTAGCAGCAAAAAGGGACCTGCCCACCAGTGCCTGTGTAGTGATGAGCTGTCCCTCAGCACAGCAGTCAATGGGATCAGATCAGAAGAGTTCTGCTAGAGCAGCAATTAGCAAACCTGTATAAGACTGAAAAGACTGCTACCAGGGCATGAGAAAGTCCCTGTACCTTGCAAGCCAGCCTAAAGGCAGAAAGTAAAATAAAATTAAGCAAAATACACATCCATTCCAGCTGATAATTATGTAGTCCTCTTGAACATATATGGCATTGTTTACTAGATGTAAAGAAATAAGCACCAGCTCAACTTGATCCTTTCTGGGGATGCTCAGTTGGGCTCCCCCTCCCCCAAAGGAGATAAGTTAACAGAAAATGCTAAAAATTATCACTGTGATATAAGGACTCCGGGATCTCCATTCCTATATCTGACAAAGGGAGCTTTGACAGGTGAAAACTCATATCTTGGTCTCTAAGGACTCAAATTACTTGAGTCCAGTCTACTGCAGACCCGCATGGCTATCCTCTGAAACTATGCTAAAAATTAATCACCGTAAAGGTGTTTGTGAAAACTGAGCCCTGGTTAACCAAATGACCATGAGGTCCACAGTGCAGCTATATCGTATACAGACCATATTTCTTTGTAGACGTGGGCCACATGTGATGTCTGTAACCATCTGCTTTTTCTGATGATTACTTCAAAGCTATTTCATAGCCCATGTTGAAACACAAAACACTCTTCCCCTCCTACAAAATACACACCATTTCTACACATGATGGCTGCATTTGCAACCACTTTTTCATAATGCCTGTCTTAGCCAATTATACTAGCATTATAACTCTGGTTAATTGCTTTACTTCTGCACACCCTGTTCAACTGATAATTCACTGCTTGCAATTCCTCATGATCTGCCTCCAATTTTCTCCTCAAGAGAAATGTGAACAGATGGATATTTTTTTTAAATACCATTTTTTTTAAACGCAGAGAAACAGCTATTATTCAAAATCCAAGACTGTTGGCCATGGTGCCATTAATTGTATAAGGCACCAATCCTAAGTAAACTTAATATGGAGTCTTTCAGTGAAAGATTTACTTCTGAACAAACATGCTTATGTAAGAACATGAGAGGAGCCATGCTGAAATCAGACCAATGGTACATCTAGTGCAGCATCCTGCTTCCAACAGAGGCCAGTCAGATGCCAAGGGGGAAGTCCACAAGCAGGGCCCACAGACAAAGCCCATACCTGCTGTTTCCCAATATCTGCCATCAGAACACAGAGGTCTGATTTGTCTGGGGTGGCTCACAGCCAACAATAGAACTCTTCTCTATAAATCTGCCAAACTGTCTTCAAAAGCCACCTAAGCTCATGGTCATCACTGTATCTCTTGGCAGTGAATGACACAAGTTGTATGAAGTACGACTTCCTTTTCTCTGTCTTGAATCAGCTGCCAAGCAGTTCTACAGGGTGACCAGGAGGTCAAATATTATGCAAAATACACCATGTTGAATTTATATATCTCTACCATGCCACCTCTCAGTAATCTTTAAAAAAAACAAATGTGGAAAATTCCCAGATAATTTAACTTGGCATAATACAGCAGGTTTTCCTGCTTTG